AACTCAAAACAATAAGTTGCAACACAATTAACAAGACAACTTACAAGGAATAGATGAGGGTCAAATACTGCATAGCCAAACGAAATAAGATCACTTCAAATATTAATCAGCTTAGTATCAACTTATTAATCAACTGTTGAAGTCTTTAATCATAGACTATTTAAGGCTATGAGCCAGGCCATCTGGTAGAGTGCTGAAGGGGTGATAGCTACTCTACAATTGTTATTTTATTTAACATTTAAGTACTTTTTATAAATACTAAAAAGTTTAGAATGGCCTGTGATTTTCTCTTTAGTCAGATGGAAGAATATGGAAAGATTTAAACACAGACTTCTGTCTTTTATGGTTAAGAGTTTTTCCTTTAATCAAAAGGTTTGGCGGCGTTGTTCAAATAATCATTGGAACCTTTCGATTAGTATTCTATTCATAATTCGATATTCTAGCTTTTTGTCGAAACTGGAGTAATAAGCAACAGTAGGAAACAAATACAAAATTCCAATCGATTCTTATATACAGGGTGGCAATAAAACCATTATACAGTGACTTACAATAACAGTTGAGACAAAACATCAATAATCCAGAAATTTATTATTAAAATGGTTCTGGTTAATTCTGGTTAATAACAATAAAATGCTTTGTTAAACAATAGTAACTTAATTATCGATCCTGTTCGAATTGCAAGCCACCTGCTTCAATGCTTTTGCTTTTTTTTTTTAAGTAATTGTATAGTGACCTTATTGCCCATATATATATATATATATATATATATATATATATATATATATATATATATATAGGGTGGCAATAAGGTCACTATACAGTGGCTTACAATAACAATTAAGACAAACCAATTCATCAAAATCCAGAAATTTATTATTAAAATGGTTCTGGTTAAGAACAATAAAATGCTGTGGTAAACAATAGTAAATTAATTACCGATACTTATTTTAAGTAACTGTATAGTGACTTTATTGCTAACCTGTATATATATATATATATATATATATATATATATATGAAGAAATATGGTTTTAAGGTGTACTATATTTATGGGGAAAATTTCTCTATATCAGAGATAGAGCGTATGTAAATATAAAAGTAAACATTGAAGTTAACACTGTCGCTTCTGAGTGTTGACTTCAATGTTCACTTATATATATATATATATATATATATATATATATATATATACACAAGATGTCAATAAACCTACTATACAGTAACTTACAATAACAATTAAGACAAAGCAATTAATCAACAGTCTCGAAAGTTATAATTAAAATGTTTCTGGTTAATAACAATAAAATGCTTTGTTAAGCAATAGTAAATTAATTATCGATACTGTTCGAACTGGAAGCCATTTCTTATTTTGACTATTAAATCATAAAACGCGACTTTACTCTTCATTAAATAACTTTCTACTTAATGCAATATTTTGTCAGTTACACTTGACCAGTGTGAGTGCAAAGTGACCCCTGTAGAGCCTTCCACTGAATGTAGACCTTATCAACTTCGATGTATAAGAGATTGATTAAAGCATCTCTTGAACAATTGTTTATATATCCTTATGTCTTACATTTTCATTCTTACTTTTACAAATCTATATCTCGGTGAGGGTTGATGAACTTGTTCATTCGGCTGCTGCGATTAGCTATACGGTAATTAGCCATAGTTACGTGTAATTGGCAGAAATGCCCAACAAACGGAATTGGCAAAGTTTGCAATAAACGATAACAAAAGAAAGAAGGCAACATGGCAAAAATAATGTTAATATCGGTGTATTAGGTCTCTTAATATGTGAGAAGCCGCTGACAATGGGAGAAAAGCACTGCAAATGTTGAGAGAACTTATCAAAAGGAAAAACGAAAATAATTTCCTTGTATTAACCTCCTTACGAAAAACAAGTAGAGAAAATATTACGGATTATATTACAGAGTAACCAAAATCTCCATGTCTTTCTTGATATATTAAATAAAAAGCTATAGAGTAAATATGACATATCGTCCTCAAAGTAACCCACATTGGCATCCAGAACCTTTTCCCAACATGCTTCCAGATGTCCAACGCCCTGATATTAATATTCTGGTGTCTTGGACGCAAAGAAGTCTTTTGGTGTCTGCTGCAAGTCTGCCTCATTCACGGCTGTAGCAGAGACAAATGTTTGTTTGTTTTTTTGTCGCAAAAATTTAGAATTTAGCCTTAAGTTATCAAAGGCTGTCAATATGGTTAGCGACAAGAACATTTAAAGTTCCTAATACTTCTAGATTGGCAGAAATTATGGAGAACCGTCTGTATTAGAAATGAATACAGTTTTAATTATAAGAGAAAGTAATTTATGAAGGAAAAACTATATAGAATGTACACTAATTTATGAGTCTATAATGGTATACTGATTAGGTTTTGAGGAGCGTGGAACCACCTCTTAATTGCTGGTGTCCCTGGGTCCATCTTGACCGGGGGTAGTAGCACCTGTTAGGGTCCAAGCTATGGGCTAATAGTT